CGGCCCGCGCTGGGCTCCACACTTACGCTGATTTTAGTTGCATCCGTATATGCTACGTATTATGCAAAGAGGGAGAGAGAGAGACAGAAACATTAGGCTGTCGGTCTTCAAGCTCGGGGATCTCAGATGCAGCCCCGGCAAGGGGTCTCACCACGAGCCGGCTAGGAGTCGAACCCGATCAAGATGGGGGGGGGGGGGGGGGAGGGGGGGCCGCCAGGAATAAGGAGTCAGTTATTTCTCCTTCACACTTAGATTCTCCACTTCCCTGATACAAAGAATAACACTTGTTCTACAAGTTCTGGAAACAGAACACCAATGGGAGGATTATCTGAGACACTTGATGCACGTGATTTGTAGCAAAAGGCTGTGACTTCTCTGTAAATTACTAATCTGAAATAGACACAACAAACGGTCCACAGCTTCAACTTCAAACGATTTAAACAAAAATAGAACAAGCCATGGACAGTGTCTGCATCCCTGTCCAATTTGATGTAAACAACGTTTGTAGAAATTGGGTTTGTTAAGAAAGTTTATCCATATATCTGGATAGCAATAAAAAGCGTTTCCTAGGAAACTGTAAGATCCTGTACCACACAGCATACAGCCCAACTAAGAGGAAAATTAGGTTGATTTCTAAATTCAAGGTACAAATTTACACAATTCTTAACTCCCGTGACGATGTCCGAGTAAAGTGGGCGTGTATATCGGTCATTGTGTCTGTTGTCCTCTCTCCTGCTGCCATGTCACCTGTGAAGCTCATTGGTCTGGTCTGCCTCTCCTCCTCAGCTGTGATCCCCCAGACGGACACAGACTCCCTGTGCATTCTTGTCCTTCATTTTCGGTCCAAGCGTGGGTCAATACTGCCCTTCTGCTGCTAAAGACACTACTGTTTCATGTCTTCCCATTTCTTCCAAGACAGCTGCCAGCATGCTCAGGTTTCCATCTGGGAAGTTCTGTGCTTCCCAAAGATCCAGGATTACGCCAGTTGGGCTCGATTTGGTGGCAAAGTAATTCAAGTACCTGTAATTGGGAATGGGAAAATGTGCTGAATGGCGTGATTTATGGATCTATTTTTCTCTTCAGTTTTTACTCAACCTTTCTGTTTCTCCATTTGTCTTTTTAAGTATCCTGGTCCCACTTGAGTAACTGTGGTTTACAGAGAGCATCCTAAATTACCTAGGCCCGTACTTATTAGATCAGCCCCAGACGGGAGACGTGATGTTTAACTTTGTTAACCTCAACTCTGAGTAAGATGATTTAAGAGACAAGATGTGTGTGGGTCATATCCTAAACAGGAAATCGTGAGACTTATGTTTTCTTTCCAGCCCAGGCTCTGATCGTCTCTGACAGGTCACGCCCTGTCTTTTGCTTGGTAGTGACGGCAACACTCTACAAAGAAGAGGCTCCCGAGGTCTCTTTATAACTAAATATCAGTGCTGTGTTTAGCATCTTAGTTACCCATCAAGCATTAGGTCCTGCTCAACGGGAGATGCAGAAGAATCATTACTTTAGGAAATGGATACGTTATTACTTAGGGGGATATCAGTTTTGCAAAGTGGATCACAAAACTTGATATTTAACAAATGTCAAATAAGCCCAGAATGTCTCTCAACAATGTGTTTGCAAGTCCATGGTGCAAGATACAAAAAAGAAGCTTAATACATGTTTGCAGAATGAAGAATAAATAGATGCATGGATGGAAAAAAATGAATGCTGGCCCCTGTCTAACAGTTCTCAGTCTTGGAGCCTGGCCATACCCACCTGTCCAGGTTTAGCTTATGGGCCAGCATCCTCCAGTCATGACCTCTCGTTTGTGGGGCGTCCAGGCTGCTACAGAGCTTCTGCCGGATAGGGGGAGGGATGCTGAAAGCACTGGGTCCTGTCATGGTGGTGATGGTGCTCGCTGGATCCAGCAGAGGCAAATCGATGCCAGTAGGTTCCTGTAGTTCAGGCACAGGAGCAACACAGCATTATTTCTGAACACAAAAGCAAGTCTTATGGAACCAATCAACATCTTGCCTTGCTCTGAGCGATAAGAAGAGAATGAGTGCTATTATTCTCCTTAGTCAGAATGGCTTCCTCCTGGCTGAAAGCTGTGATTTGCTCTGTGTAACCTGGCTGAGAGGAAGAGCCACATTTTAAGCTGACTTTGCAGAGCCTTGGATTTATGGGTCTTCAGTCAGGATGGGGCTCGGTGGAGAGCTGTGGTGTGAGCCAATAACAGCTTTTCTAATGGGAGTCTCCAGGATGAGACAGCAGAGACGGAACAGCAATGCTCCCAAAGGTGTAGATTTCAGGAAGGGAGAAATGTTCAAAAGGGCAGTTCTTTGAGAATGAAAGATCTGAGATTAGAAGGCTGAAAGTTCAGAGCTTCTAGAAACTGTCTGACCCTGAGGGGCATTCCCCGGGCAAATGCAGAGGTCCATGGTCCTCTAAGCTCTGCAGAGGATGGCTCGGGTTCTGCTTTTGTTGAATGAAATGCAGCACAGCTCGCCTCTAAATGATATCAAATTAAGACTAATTTTTTAAAGAAAATGGTGAACACAGTATCTTGCCTTAGGGCACGCTGCCAACAGCATCCTCCAATGACTTTACCCCTTATTTTTTTTAGAGCTAATTTTAGTAGAGAAAAACATAAATTGGCTCTTAAAATAGTTTCAGCTCATAAAACAGCACAAATGTAAAATCTGAATTTCATCTGCTGGAGAAACTCTAATCATTTTCTGATCACTTCTGCTGGTTGGAAAAGCAAAAGCAAATGTTGCCTGGAAACTATTAAAGCAATAAAAGAAAACCTACGTAATCTACTTTAAATGTCACCTCTCCCTCCTTTCTTAGGGCAGGTAACTCCTTGGTGTACATAATTAGTTGCTGGAGGATAAACAGGCCACACATGGTTTCAGCCATTATGAAGGCTCTGGTGTCTTACAGAGCGCTCAGCTCAGGGGGTCAGTGCCACCACTGCCCAGAGCCCCCCAGCCTTGCTGCTCCTGCACTGCAGGGGTCGCCGCTGTCTGTGTCCCCATGTTGACTGACAGCGTGTTCTGCATTCCGGGGGCAGCTCACAGCTAGGCCTGTGTAATCGCACTGCACAGGTCCATCTGGGGGCTTGGGGGGCACAGCAGAGCAAAATGAAGTTTTTGCCATAATACACACAGTAGTGTTGGCTGCAACCACAGTATTTGGCCTCAAAACCCAAAGCCTGGCAAACTGAGATGCTGAGGATTCCTTCTGCTCCTTTATGTTAACTCCACCACATACCAGGATTTCAAAGGCTGGTATGAAACACAGAAGCAACCAATGGGAATTGCGGCCCTGAATGAGGCCACAAGCCGCAGATCTTTCCCCGCATCGGGCACAGAACTCTTTTCAAAGGACCGTGAGGAGCGAGGGCTCCTGACCTCGAGGACATGGGGCTTAAACAAAGGGGACCAAGAGCGATCCGAGGGCCCGGCTCAGTGTTTCTAAGGGATCTGTGCTGGGGAGGTCTGAACCCAGGGGCCCAGCACTTACGTGGCATAAAACGAAGTAGGCGTGGGTTGGGAAGGTGGAGGCGAAGAGAAATCACAGCTACTTCCACAACTAGTACCATCGCCCACGTGGAGGCCATGCTCGCTTCCTGTCTGGATGGTAACAAGAGGGCCTAGAAGGAAACCACCAAACCCCCAAGTACCACCCCACCCTGACCATACCGGGCTGGGCTGGGGGTTAAGTCCACACAAGTAGGGGTCTGCTTTTTGTAGTACTGGCTCGTGTCCCCAGAGATTCCTCGCACTGTAGGCCATATTAACTCCTTCCTGCTTTCCTGTTATCTGTCCCCATCTGCCAGACTAATCGTCTTAAAGCACCTCACCGCTGTTTCCCCTTTTCTCTCCTTCTCTCTCTCTCTCTCCTTCTCAGTAAGAGGTGTTAAATGCCCCTCCTACCACACGGAGTCCCAGTGCTTCATCGGGCAGCCAGACTCCTGCACCACCTGCTTTAGTGGCGCTAGGAGGCCCCAGAGGTGACATGTGCAAAGTGCAGAGCCAGGCCTGGCACGGACTAGGGGCCGCACACTATGGCTCCTGCCGCTTGACAATCTCAGCCAGCCTCTCTCAGGTTGCCTTGACGTGACTAAAGCTCGACTCAGCCTGGACCACTCACTCTTCCAGGTGCCTTTTTTAAGGATGCATCTCTAATAGTTGTTCTGCCCTCTCCATGAATCTCTGTCGGGCAAACCCCTGAAAGTCTGGACCAAAGGGCATGTCCCCTGAGCCTCCCCCGGGAAACCCGCCCAAGGGCATCACGTGAACCCGGAGACATCCTACAGCACAGTTCACAGCTCTCCTCAGTCCTCAGAGTCTGCCCTATGCACGTTGGTTGTATTTCTGTGTTACTTCCATTGATTTCTCAAATTCTTGGCAATGAGAGTGTTTTTGTCATCCTGAGAACACACTTTGAGACTCAGCACAGTGACCTGCACGTGGAAGCTTCTCAACTCCTATTGGTTGAAATGAACCTACTTTTCCTGATACAGAAAGAGGATGAAGCCAGTTCCTGATAGAAGCCCACGCCACAGAGTGATGTGTTGAGCTTCCTTCCAGTTACATGTGGAGAAGGGCACGGCTCTTCCCTCTGTCAGCTCCTGAGGGAAGGCAGGGGAAGGCGGGCCTGCCTCTCAGGAAAGTCCGCTCGTGTATTCGTGTTGTCGTCCTTTTCTCTGTGAATAAAGCACCGTCACCACTTCACGTGGGCCCTCAAGTCCTGAGCCTCAGCCCTGGCCACTGGCCTGTTGATGCCTGTGTGGATGACACAAGCTCAGTAGGACATCATTTCTCATCTCTCTTCCCAGAGGGCTGACAACAGCCATGGAAGTAAAAGAAAAATACACATACACGTTTACATTTAAAATTTCCTCCAGTAATTTCAGTTGCCATTAGCTCTTCCTTTACGTCCAGGTGAAAGCAGAGTTTGCTCCCACGGAATGCTTATTACAGTCACTGTTCATGATATTGGTACCATCTGTCTTTGACGTGATGAATACCTTAGTTAAACATATGATTTTTCAACGTTAGCCAAACAGCTGCTCTGGGGGACGCACACATTTTCAGCGCGTCACAGTGGAAACGACCTTCCACTCCCACGTGCCGACTCTGCCCAAAGTCACTTGGAAAAACTAGATTTTCCCAACAGTCGTTTTGAACAAGTTATGGAAAACGGAAGAGGCAAAAAGATGGGATGGCGGTAGCAGAGAGATGTTACTTTGTACATTTTTAGTATTACTCTTCGTGCACAGAAAAGTGCTGCGAGTCCGTAGTCAACAGGGGTTATAAGGACTTCGTCAATGGCTAAAACTGAATAGGAGGCCTGAAGAGACTGTAAGTTTCTCTCCCGTCTACACCCCTTTTTCTCTGGGTGGTGATGGGTAGCTGCCCCATTATTACTGCCCCCATTCCTCTAAAAAAGAAAGAAAAAAGCTTCTAGCATCATTTACATTTTGACATTCATTCATACTCATACTTTTATTCTTCCAGACATTTTCATTCTTAAACTTCATCTCTGTGAGACCTAAAGCTTCTTCTCTGGTTAAGGAGTCTCTGGCCAGAGTGCCCAGAGAGGACCACCCGGCCGGCTCTCGCCATCACCACGGTCTCTGTCAAGCACAGCCTGGCCTCCCGGGGGCAACAGGTCCTCCTTCTCCTCCTGACTAGAGAGGCCAGGGCCGCATGGCGCTTTATCAAGGGCTGCTGACTGCCTTGAGTGGCGGGGGCTGGGGCGGGGCGGGGGCAGCACACTCCTGGCAAGTCAGCTCATTCTCAGGAGACAGGATGTTGGAACTGCAACCCCAGCTCACCCGCAGCTTGCCGCGTGACCCTAGGAGGGAGCCCTGCGCAGAAAAAAGACACCACAAATGGAGACTTTTCTCTGGTCATGCTTTGTCAGTCACAGTGTCCCCCTGCTCAGAGCTTTGGATGAGGATCCGGGTCTCAGGGTTTTCCAGAGCCAATGGTTCATCAGCGCAGGGCCCTGCTCCCCAACATCAGTACCCAGCCCCACACCTCCCCCGCTGTGGGCCACATGCACCCGCATTCAAAGGCTCACCACAACGGTGGGGCTCAGTGACCCAGAAGTAAAAGCAGCAGAGTGCCCTTTAATCCCCAGAGTCATCTGACTCCGGTCATTTCTGCCCCTCCCTCTGTTAAATGTGCCTGTCTGTCACACACGGGCAAAGGCCTCCGACACGACCGAAGGGGTGGCCTCTCTGAGCTGACTGCCACCAAATTGCAAAAGAAATCATCTTTCCTGTATGGTGGCACAAGAAAGACAGTCCTCCAATTGTGATCACACTAGGCAAAGTGTCTTCTCGGTGAGGGGGTGGCGGACCGAGCCAGGAAGGGCCCTCAACAGCCCCTTTTCATTGGCGGCTGCATCTGATCCACCTTTTCATCCCACAGCAAACGCTCACGCTGAACAGAGAGCAGGCATCAAAGGCGCAGGCCTCCTCGCCCCCTCCAAAATCCCGCGGCCTTTGTTGTCACTGGAGCTGGGTGGTTATTGAACTTTGCAGACCTGCTGGGCCTGGAAAGTGAAAACACCCTCCAGAGCCAGCAGGGGTGGTGCTGGGCGCCTGGGAGATAGGGCCTGCGCATCGAAGGCCCGGCGGTTGCCATGGCACCCTGACACCGAGATCATTCCTTATGAATGTCACCGAGGTCTGTGACTAAAGTTGTTTATGAGTCAAAAGTCTCATGAAACTACAGGAGGAAATGATGACCGCACCTCGGCAGGCTGTGGGAAAGAAGGATGGAGCCTCATGCAGGCTGACGTGCTTCTCCCCCTCAGTTTGCTAAGGAAGACAGTCTTTAAATCCAACATGTGGAGCGAGACAGGCTGAACATAGTGACATTTCATTCGTCACTGTGCCTGAGACAGCGAGGGAGAAGTCATCTTCTAAATCACGCACTGTCCCGCCGGAGTTTTAAAATACGATAATCCTGTGCTTTGTGGCTCAGCGAGCAGCACAGCTCTGAGCGGCCCAGGGGCTGCTGCCCCGACCATTCTGAAGGCTTCTTCTTTTCCCTTTGTTCCTCCAGCACGAAGGGTTTCACTGTGCAAATACAGCCTCAGGGCCAGGTAACAGATAAGGTCAGGGACACCTACTCTCCGTACAGAGGAGTTTTAAATAGCAGTGCTCATTGTTAGTTCTGCAACGTGGACGTGTGAAAGGCCCAAGTGAAGCGAGTGGAGATCACAGCGAAGAAAGGTGAAGTGAGGGCCACCAGGCAAAATGCGCAGTTCCTATTTCTGGACCATTTCTCCCAGCCTGGGGAAAATGGCATCTTTTCTTTCTTTAAAAAAATTTTTTTTATTATTTTTTATTGAGGTATAATTGACATACAACATGACATTGGTTTCCGTGCACAACATAATGATTCAATATTTGTATATATTGTTAAATGATCACCAGAGCAAGTCGAGTTAACATCTGTCCCCATACATAGTCACAGAATTTTTTTTCTTGCGATGAGGATTTTTAAGATTTATTCTGTCAGCAACTTTCAAACATGCAGTAAAGTATTATTAACTATAGTCACCACGCTGTGCATCACATCCCCGGGAGTTTTTATTTTATAACAGGAAGTTTCTACCTTGTGACTCCCTTCACCCATTTTGCCCACCTGCCTCTGACATCCTGCCTCTGACATCTCTTCTTATATTTGGAGAATGAGGTATGAGAGAGAAGGGAGACCAAGAGATTTCTCCTTCCAACACGGAGAAAAAAGGAGGGAAGAAAGAAGCAGGGTGGGCGGGGGTGGGGAGGCCCATCTCTCTTCCTCCACCCCACTCGGGAGCCCCTGATTAGGCAGAGGGAGGCGAGTTCCCCAAGGAAAGCAGAGGAAACAGAGGAGAGACAGACGGAGGATGCAAGCGGGCACCGCATCAACACAGGGCACGTGGTGCATCAAGGCTATGCTGGGGAAAAGTCACTCCATGTGCATGCCACTTAAACCTTAAACTTGACATTCAGATCTGTTGTAAAAAGTTAGAATAGGATCCTTAAATTGATGTCATAAAGCATTAAAGACTTGTTTTCAAAAAGGCTTCCCTATCACATTCTGTTATGTATCTAGTTCCCTGTGTTCATTAACAATATTATTGCATTAACAAACAGGGCCTCTAGAGGCTTCTGAGGACTTCCCACAGGCCCCTGTTGCGCTGCCTTTAGACACGCGCTCTCCCCTCCCCACGGCCATTCTCTGCGCCGGTTTGGGTTCTGGGGCCGCGAGAGCGCCTCACCTCAGCCACGGTGCAGCTCAGCTGGAAGATCTGCCCCTCTCCTTCCACCTGCCGCACGCAGAGTTTGCACACCAGCTCCGCCGTGTTCAGGCTGAATCTTTCCAGAGTGAATGTGCAGTGGAGGCTTCGTTGAGACCCACTCCAGATATGGTAGAAAGGAATTTCCTAAAGGATAAAAGAGTGTCAGTCATAAAGGAGGGACTAACGCTAAAAGTAACCATCAGACACTGAACTGCCAAGTACTCGCATCAGCACCACCCACGTTACCTCATTTAATCCTCACCACCGGCCTCCGCGCAGCATATCCTGACCCGCTTTTCCGATGGAGAAACGGAGACCCAGAGACGTTAAACAACTCAGCCAAAGTCCCACAGCTAGTAAGCGGCAGAGTTAACATTTGAACCCAGAGTCAGCCTCCAGAATCCATATACCTAACCAGTTGGCCATTTGTCATTTATAAAAAGAGCCGTTGTAAATGATTTTTTATTAAGTTTAAAAAATTCCTAAAATAAAACCTCGACACTCCAGTCGTTGCTCATTAAGAGGAATCCCTGCCACGGTATTCTGGAGGAAAGCAAAGAAAGCCTCCCTGGGCACGCACAGAGCCGGCTCCTCGCGGGGCGGGCGGGGAAGCCCAGCTCGCTGGAGTCCGAAAGCGCAGGCTGGGTTCCCTGCGCAGAGCAGTCCTTGGCCCGCAGAGCACCACGCCTCTAACAGACGCTGATTTTCTAAAAGTCTAGATCTCCTTACAGAGCCCGTCCTAGAATCTTTCCTCAATAAAGAAAGAAAAGGTGGATACACAAAAAATGGGAGAACGTGTGGTTAAGCGCGGAGAATTCAGCATGAATGAGAACACGCTCCCCTCGCTGGCTGGGTGATGGGGGACAAGGGACTCAACCTCTCTGTGCCTCCACTTCCTCCTCTGCGAAAGAGTCCCCGAGTCCCAGCCCAGCTGGGGTTAACTGAGAGACCAGAGGAGAGCCTGGGTGCCGGCAGATGGCAAGAATTCAGCCAGGCTTAGCCTGAACTAAAGTCAGATTATCGTCATTATAAAAATAGTAGTTTCCATTATGATTGTACAAAGGAAATTGTTCATAAAAGGGGAATATTTGTGGGCTTTTAAGGCAGTTGCAAAACAGGGAAAAGCAGAAAACAAAGGAAGAGACTTAATGAGAAAGTCAAAGGGCCCGATCTGTCCGTCGAGGGCTGAGTTATACAGAAGAGTCTGGCGCGCAGCCCCCAGCCAAGCTCGGCGCTGTTAGCGGACTATCAGGTTCGTCTCTCACAACTTATGTGTAAGTACTAGACAAATCAGAGGAAGAATGGAGCTGGAAAATCTTCCCTGCTCCTTCTCGTATGTTCACTGACTTGTATCAAGAAATTGCACCCAGTTCAGCGCAGCGCTGGGTGCCGGTGTCTGCTTTCCCACAAGGAACGCTGTCATTTAGTCAACTCCTGACCAGGTTTTATTTTTACATGCTGATTCAGTTTCCAAACTGGGCTTCCTTTCAAGTTTGCCATGTACAGGTATTCTCGTCGCAAGGTTGGAGCCCAATTTGTGTGACGTGGGATAACATTCTTGTTTTTCCTATGAAAGCATTTTGAGGCAGTATTTTTTTTTTATCAATTCAACATAAGTGTTTACTCCAAAAATGAAATGATGGACTTGGAAGTCTTACGTGCTAAAAATAAAACAAATGATAGCACAATTATGTGAAGAAGATTTAAGACAAAAGTATTCCTTCAAATATGTCTAGAGTATTTTTCAAAAACCTAAATAACCCGAAACTATTTTGGAGAAACAAGTACTGATGTAGGATTAACTTCAAGGAAGGGAGTACTGACGTCCGAATAATGTCAGTCCTCTTTCTCGGAGCTGGCTCTGCGCTCTGCCTCACTTGGCAACCTTACCTGATATTTAGCCAGCAGTTTGCTCTTCCAGAGGGAATGGGCGATGTCGTGAATCGACAGGCGCAGGTTGTGGGTGCTGCCTTTAAAATGAAGAGCCTTGGGTTCTTCCAGGAGCTGTCCTCCCATCTGTCTCTCAAGCTGCAAAACTTCCTGCGATGACATGCCCAAACCACAAGCAGATTAGTGAGGCGAACCTCGATGACTGAATCTCATCTCTTCCACCGGCTTGCTCATCCGAGGAGCAGGTTTCCCCACTGTGCCTCCCCCACACCACACCTAACATGCAATACGTGACTCCCACATCTGCAGCCCTGAGCCCCTCCAGCCGAAGCTGCTGCCAGTTTGCATGGACTGCATCCTACTGACTGCCCACTGGGTTTCGGCAATCCACACCCGCTGCTGTGGGGCCAAATCAGTAGTCTGCACTTCCCCACGGACAAGTGGAACATGCAACCAAACGCAGGAAAATAACAGTCAGAACCCCAGACGGGAAGAACCCTAAGTGAAAGAAAAAAGTAGATAGAAATATAGCTAAACAGATAAGTAAGTAGATTTTCAATGAACTTTTAGGGAAAGGGGCAAATAACTAGAAAACAAACCAATGTCTTCGACTTGGTAAAACCAACTAACAAACAAAAATTTGGAATGTGTTTTGGGCATTTTTTCAGTCTTGTAGTTTCTTTACCTACAGAAATAAGATAAAATTTTTGCTTAAAATTATCTATTGCTTGATTTCCAATTATGAAAAAACTTAAAATATGCTCATTAAATGTCCTCCTAGAGGAAAATGTACTGATACAGATTAGGAAGGTTTTTCAGCACCAAACCCTGAACTAAACAGTAACTCAGGCTAAATTTTGAAAAGAACCCCCCATTTCTCAAGAACTGTGGCTGATCTAAAAATTTTCTTTGTAACTTTACTTATACTGTAAAGGTGTAGAATGAAGACAAATTCCATATATAGGTCCATTTCTCAAGCTAGTTAATGGGAGTCAATGAAGCATTTCCAACTACAGCTGTAATTATCCAAACAGCATCTAACCACAGATTATCATTGAAGAACATATCCCGGGTATCCTCTGCTGTCTGAATCATCCCCGTGCACACTTTGCTCCTCTCATGCTTTAAAAGTGTTAGTGATACAAATACATAGGCAGTTTCTGTGACCTTTTTCTTTTTAAAATATGGGTTCAGGAAAATAATGGAGTTTATAAAAATAAAAAAGCAAAATACAATTTTCTTCTTTGGTGAGATTTCAATTGAAAGTATGGGATTCAACTACACAGGCGATGACTCAGGCCATTCCACACCCAGGGACTGGTACCTGCCAAGGTGCCAAGCACAGATGGGTCACAGCGAAGAATGGTGAGTATGGGAACCAGACTGTAGTCTGGGAAGCGCAGAGCTTACCAACATCATTGATCAGATGTAAACAGCTCACTTCAAGCTGCTGCTGTAGCGGTTCTTAGCATCCGTCATCTCTGAGTCGGGCCACTACTCTGAACCACGCAAGCTGTGGAAAGGTCCCACAAGGTGTAGGAAATACTAGGATAATGTGGAATGTGGTCTCAGACAGGGACCCCTCTAATTAGTGTCTAATGGAAGAGATGAGGCAATAGCATGGTGACGAGACACAGCACGGTCCAGCTGCTGGAGAATATTGATGCTGAGAGTATTGAGCATTGCTGGCTGATGAGTAGCTATTGTGACAGGAGCCTGAGCAGTCAGCCAGCCCTCAACCAGTCAGCCGGCCACCTGGACACATATGTTGTGTCATTGTGGCATGGCTCTGCTGTGCCTGTGGCTGGGCAGGCTCTGAGGGTCCCCAGGAGGCCATACAGATCCACCCAACCCAGAGTTGCACATGGTCCTCATGGAACACCCTCCCACAACACTTCACACTCCTTTCCTCAACAAGAACCTGGCCATGTGGAAACGAAGACGGATAAGAAAAGTGAGGGTTAATTGCAGTTTCTTCTGCTTCAGCAGGAAGGCATAATGAGCTTATGTTGATCATGCTCGGTGTCTAGTTAGCATAATACAGAAAGCTGATGTTCCCAGTGAACCTGGCACCTGACAAATTCTAAAGCTAAAATGATGTTTGTTTATAAGCCATTAGAAGAAAAGAAACATAATTAGAAATCTTTGAGATTACAGTCATGCCAATCAATCAGTTCTAGCTTCTTTCCAGTACACTCTAATTACCTCATCAAGACGTCTAAAGAGCAATCGATAGTAATTATCTGATTACTATAGATCTTCATTATGTCCAAATTATCTCCCTGGGATGTCTAAAAGAAGATGCATTGTATTCGGGAGGTAATTGCACCCAACAATGTATACTCCACACCCCATTCTTACAATCAACATAGATTGCCAGAGGATATGGAGAGCATCATCAGTTTTCTTGGCAGGGAGGCCCACTGAAAAAAAGCCTATGCTGCCTATTGATCATGACCTCGAAGTCAAGAAATCTTACACCACATTTTGAGCGCAAAGTCTGGGCAGGAGTCGGCCCGAGAAATAGGCTCAGTCCTTGGCTTCTTCGGCATTGACCTCAGACGTCATGGTAAAGCGTTCTCCCTAGTGAGGAAAGAAATTGGGCTGGCTTGAGCCCTTTTTTGAGAGAAAGGACCAAGTAAAGTGGCATTTTAAAGACAATGGGGCCAGAGAACATACTCTCTCCATACTTCTATGCTCTCTATCCCTCCACTGACCAGGAATGACAAAGAGCTGAGAGGAACCTGACTTTTCCCCGCTTTGATTGGACATGAACCTGGTGAAAGATAAAGTGCTCATCAGGATGCATCAACGCTTAGAGCAGAGGTCCCTCAACACGTCTGATTGCATATGCCTGTCAGTCCCACAGCTGAGCATGCATTTTGTTTATGTCTCTTCATAAATTATATATCTCTATTAATACATCAGTTTGTTAATATATTACATTATAAAATATGCATAAGGTTAAAAGCTAAGGCGGATAAACACAGAAGTACTAATACTGTCTTTTTTTGCCCCAAAGTTTCATCGGCCCGGGTGTGTGAGCTCCACGTTGGACACTGCGGGCTTGGACAGCTGTCCTTTCACACAGACCTTTCACACGTCCTCCTGGAAGTCAGCCCGGGAGGAAAGGATTCCACAGGAACAATCTTACAAAACTGACATTTAGTGCTTTTTCCTGAAAAGTAGCAACTTTATCATCATCGTCAGGATGTTCAACTTCAAGGAAACATAACAAAGTGCAGGAGAAGGCAACCAAAGCGCCAATTTAAAATATTAAAGTGCGAACTAAACAACTACAATCGATAAATAAAACAACTCCTCGGAAACTAATGTCATCTAAAACCACACAGGAGCCGGAGGGGACTTGTCACCTGCAGCGAACGCCAAGAAGTCTGTGTCAGAAGACAGAGCAGCAAGCCCCCCGACGGCCTGGTCAGGCCCCGGGTCCACACTGTTACGGTTTCAGTAGCATAATTTCAGAAACTTTATAGCTGATCTCACTTAAAAATACCGTAACTTGGATTTCAAAAAGCTTGATTTTCTGAATTCCTTCTGTATGAAATCATTTTGGTTATTATACATATGATACAGATCCGTAAGAGAACATAAAAATAACAGATGTGTGAATCCCTAAGATATAGCCTTTCAGTTAAATGCTTTCCTCTCCTTAATCTTCCTGGGAGCCTTCCTTCGACATCAATGGAACACACATGCCCTGCTAGGAACCATGTCAGGTTCTGGGCACACACACGAGTGAGCGCCTGTGCCTGCCTCAGACCACGCACAGTCGCGGGGGAGACCCACACGCGGAAGCCCAACACATCGTGCTCAGCTCTAAGACCGCTTCCAGACAGGCTGCTCTTGGGTCCCAGTGATTAGGATATATCGCACACCTTGAAAGAGAGCAGGAACACAATATGCTTAAGGTCAAAAGATTTAGGAAGTCTTAAGAAAAATGCCGTGACCTTGAAATGAAATGCCATAATAGGACTTAGGATCATTTAGACTCTTTGTTCTCAGCAATATAAATGTCACCTTCCTTTACAAAGGTTGTCCCCACTCCTGGCAGCACCCCCACCCCAGGGCCTCGTTTTGACTGGGGGTGAGTCTCCCTGTTGCTTGGATGAGCTTGCTCTGCCTCTGTGAGAAAGGGTCACTTTCCGACTTCCTTTGTCAATTCTATCTCCACCCCTCCAACTTAACCTTGAAAAGACTCTCTCAGGGGTCAGTTATCGACAGAGGTGTGTCTAGCCCATACCTTCACGGGAACACACACGCACCCCAGTGGTAAAGTCACCAGGAGTAGGCCCCTGTGCAACAGAGCCTGGTGCCCCGCGGGATCTGAGCAACCCCGTGGGATGGCTGCTTTCCCAGTGCGTTGGCCGCCCCAAACCTCCTCGGTGGCCCTAAGTGAGGGCTATATTGATTCAGGGACCATGTGAGGGATTGCTCCAAAGGCAGGGACAAGGGATCCCACAGTAGAAACAAGCAGCTTTCACAATAACCTCTTAAACCAAGGCATTATCCATGCCAAGCCATCAGCCTGGGCTTCTGAAGAGCCACAATAAATCCAAGCTGTTGTAAAGGCCTGTGCGTACAAGGAGCCCTCCGGCCTGTACTCAGACTCTCCCAGGCTCTGAGACACAGGCTCTGCCCTCCGGAAGGCCTGACCGCGCGAGGCTAGCGGGAGGATCCGTCCCACTCCGCTGGGCTGCGGTCCTCCCGGGACCTCGGCCCCGCATCCCGGCGGCGGACGCGCCTGCGCACTGCGCTCCTGTTCCTCCTCCGCCGCCGCCTGGTCCTGCCCAGCCAGGGCAAGTTCGCCTGAGGGCCCGTCTCACAATGAGCGAGAGCACATGCGAGCCTCAGGCGACACAGATGCACACACTGAGGTCCCTGAAGTGCATGTCGAAGGATGTGACAAGTCTCTGCCCGAGTGCAGAGCAGGGCCTCTGCGCCAGGAACCGTGTGAGGTGCCCCCGGGCCTGGCTCTGTCCTGCACGCTCGGCTCTCCCCGTCCTCGGCCACCTTGCCCTGCTCTCCCCGTCCTCGATCGCCGCGGCCGGCCCCGCCTCCTGTCCCCCGCCGCTCCACATCCGCCCCTCCTTGGGGCGCTGGGCTAGCTTCCCGGCTCTCCGGAGGTGGTG